AGGACTTCCTTCTGCCTAAATATGCATAGGATTGCAAACTGTACAAAAAGGACATCAATAATACACTTATCAGACTTTCCTAACATGGTGCTTCTTGATGCATTAGATTACATTTCCTATCATTCCTCACCAAAATGGGCACTGGGAATGATAGAACTTGCAATCCAACCAATCAAGAAGGCACTGGCTTAGAGAAGACTGACTTATGAAGTCACTTGCCCTTTTTCTAAGTGCTTATTTACCCTTAGAGAACTATAGAAATGTTGGCACCCACCAATTACTGCAGTCTGACTTCATCTGAAATGTTGCCTCTATTCTGCCTACAATTGGTCTAGTTTCTATAGCAGGTCAATGTTGCTCTGCTCAATCATGATGCTGAGCAGTATCAACCTTCCTGGTTGCGAAGCTCTAAGTATCTTTCCACATGCAGGTTTAGCATGGTACTTATCCATGAAGGCTTTATGACATGCATACAAAGTACCCTTTTAAATCTTACATATCACCTTACTTTTTTGGGAGAGGACAGCTGAATTAGGCAATTTTAGGTTCATATAGCCAGTGCTAACAATATGTAGAAACAGACTGCTTCATTAGCCATATTTAACATTTTAAATTAGAAGACTAATGTAGCCAGCTACTCACCCTTTTTCAAATAAGTTACTATGGTGCAATCGAATGCACATTTACGCTGAAGCAAGTCCATTGCCTTGCAAGTGTTAGTAAGACTTTATTCATTCCGGAAATTCTTTTATTCTCTTCCATCTCTCATTCAAAACCATTCCACTGGTGATCACAGACCTATGAGAGCTTGTCTGCCTTTCAGGTACTCTATTTGGATCTCTGAAATCTACGTTTGGCTGTAAGGCAAACACCACAGAACAGCTTCATTGCAAGAAAAAGAGAGGGGAGGAGAGGGAGTTTCAAAGTTCCAAACCAGAGAGTCTATCAGCCACAAAACTGCTAATGCAATTCACTAAAGGTTTTAAGCATCTATCATTTTCTTGCCCATTTATTTAGTGGGACTTACTCTTCAATAAATGTATAGAAGAGTGGAGCTTCAGTGAATTTGACTATTAACTACTAGCTTTTATCTAAAACATTATAATAGTTACAAGTAATTTATACTCTTGATCAGCTGCTAGAGAAAGGAAGTGTGAAACCTGAACAATTTACTAGGACAGCTTTCCTCAACTAACTCAAGTATCAGATCAACAGTGCAATCCTACACATAGCTATTCAAAATTAACTCACTGAATTCAGTAGGATTACCTCTCTGGTATTATAAGATTGCAGCTGAAACATAAGATCTCCTAGGAAAAATACCCACTGAGTAGTGAAACAGGACTTGAGTAAACATGTTCTTACTGTTGCTGTTATAACATTTATTTATATCCCACCTATTCCCAGTGACTGGAACTGAACGCTGCTAAAGGATGTAATGGATTGCATTGTACATTTAAAATACAGAATTTCTGTCACAAATTCAAACCTCAACTACTCACTCACAGCTGAAATTTTCATTAAACCAGTGTACTTAAGTTGCACTGGCCTTTCACTGGCTACATCTTATCTACTTTGGAATGACCAAACTTCAAGGCGAATTTCAGCACAACATGGCAAGGTGTGTGGGGACTGATGGCTGAGAACTGGTTTGAAGATAGCATGGTACCACTGAGTAGACTGTGAGCACTTCACAGTAAGGACAGGGATATCCTACCAGGGTTCCAATCCAGGAAACCTACTGTTGCATTCACCAAGATATAATTAAGGTTGACTTCCAAGAGTACCATTTGTCAGGGCTCTATCCTGAATCAACTTCATCTTAGCTACAACTAGTGCTTGATGATGCACTTCTTGCCTCTTTCCAAGACAGCGTGACTCTGCAAGTTGTTCTTGCTTCTGGCACTTTTTTGCCTACATTCTAGACATGGTTGAAACACATTGAAAGGGCAAATAAAATTCACTTTCCACATCATGGTCATCATTTAGTAAGGCAAAAGGACCAGTATTTTTTCTTACTTGCTACTGAAATGCAGAAATTAACTGCAAAATACAATACGTAGAACAGCAGCACAAAGCATTCTGTTTACTAGTCCCCAGTGTGACTATAGTGTTGGCTACAAGAATTCTAGCTAGTTAGGGTGCAATCCAACAGCTTCCAAACAGCAACTGAGGGTCACTGCATACTTCAGATTCCCAGCTGAGGACAGAGATGGCACTCTGACGATGCAACTGGGACAGTCTGACCCTCACCCCCACCACGCTCCTAGCAGCTGGCATGGAAACAACTGTGCTGGCTGTGCCTCCAAGGCTGGGAACATAAGCTTAGAAAGCAGCGGGTATGGAGAGGATGAGATCGAAGATATTAGGATACAAGTTAGCCTGAGGTCACTCCAGCTTTTCTCCTCTTCCCACAAACCCCAGCTAGGTGGAAGGAAATGCCTGTCCAGCAAAAGTGCAGAGTAGGAGAATGGGGCAGCTTAGATTGCCTCCACCAGGCCTCTCAGCTTGCATAGGAAGCTCATCAGGCCTGAGTCTGGGGTCTTACAAGCATTAAGGGACTATGCCCTTAAGTATACTGCAGGAGTATAGTATCAGGGCAGCATAGCCTCCTGTACCAGAAGTACTATACAACATATGACAAGCTCGTGTATCATTGCTGTAGTAATAAATTGTAGCTAAATCTTTTTTCCTTTAGAGGAAAATCCTGCTCACAAATGAACATTAAGGCTCAACTAGATATCATACCAAACCATGGTTAATACTAGCCATGATTTAGAACCTAAACCATGGTTCTGAGTTTTCAGGCATAAATATAGTCCAGTTATGGTTAAAGCTGCTTTTTTGCTTTCATCCCCCCCACCCCCAAAGTCTACTCCCCTCTCCATGTTGTAGCAAACTTCTGGGTATACAGAAATAACGGCAACTATACTTTGTCAATTGAGTCACATAAGAACAAAACATTGTTTGCAAGCCATAATTTCCAAGACTTACCTGCCAACCTATCACAAAACAAGTCTGTCAATTTAGATCCCAATGCCATGTCAAACTAAAGATCTCTCAACCGTAGCTTGACAGGATGGTTGATATAAAGAAATTATTATAGATGAAAAGACTCAGAAGGTATATTAAAAGCTTTGTTATGGCTTCTTAAAAATCTTATTCAAATGCACAGTCCTGTATTTTCCACAAATTAGTTCGACTGTGAAACATACCCTTGGCATTAGCTACTTTTCATTGCAAGATTCCAGGATAGATTTACAGAAATACTTTTGGAGAACATTTCACATTTCAGCTTATTCCTGTAAACTGGAAAGTAAACTGAACATTAATATCCTTACACACATGCCAGACAGCATACAAATGCAGGCGCAGGAGCATCAATAATATTTATTTAAAATATTTTTTTACCATGGAAATCTCATTAATGAGTATTTTTCCTCAAAAAAGCAAAACAAAAAACAAAAAATCAGAATTCTCCATCTGGATAGCAGCTAAAGAAAGCTTCAGCACATCCAAAACAGTCTTTAGATCTGCCAGTCTCAAGTTCACTTATTTAGTGAACACCACTATCCATTTTTAGATCAGATTTGTTCTTATCATTCTTCACAGAGTAGATGAAATAGGTTAAGGTGTCCTTTTCATTCACTGGAATAGTCCGAAAATGACATCCAATAATCTGTAAGAAAAATGTAAACTTCCTTGAATAACAGCTTTATTCAGTATTTTAAAATGTATAAATAATTCCCACTGTACTGAATCTAGTCTTACTTCAGAAACATCAGAAATTATTTTCTCTTACCCTCTGGCATACAAGGAACAAAATGTAAGTTTACATAATATTGCTTTTCTTCTTCTTTGCATGTATTTAGAATTGGCTTCCAAGAAAGCAGGAGTTCTGATTCCACAAACTTTGAATATAATTTAGGACACTATATCCAATCCAATTGGATAAACTGCCCAAAGGAAGAAAATGGTAGTGTAACTGGGAATGATTTTTGTATGTCTACTTTATTGCAAACCACAACTGAAAAGCATAGCTCTGACTCATTTTGATTCCATACTTCTTGATTTCTACTTTACTGCCAAGCAAAAAAGGTCTGTATACATCTGTTAACAAACTCTTGTTTACATGTTCTGAACTGAATGTGAAATACAAAAAGTAGTAAACTTACTTTTCTCACCTTAGTTTAACCACTCCTAAAAAAGCAACATACTTGATACATTGTATACTTTGCAGAGTTATGATTTATGTACCATGCCATTAAATTTTAGAACAAAGCAGACACAAATAAGAACCCTATTTGAGCCCTAAGAAGACATTAGGGCTCAAAACTATCCAAGGATTCATAATTGAAAGTATTAAAACGTTGATCTCTTTCGAAGAAATATCATTCTTGTTATTATTAGTATTTCATTCTTCTACCACCCCATAGCTGAAGCTCTCTGGGTGGTTTACAACAATGTATTAAATAAAACAATAAAATACAGTAAAAACAGAAAAACAACAATGTTAAAATGAGTGATGAAAAGAATTATGGAATTGTTTTATGAAATTATAAAATGAACACATTAGTCAACATTAAAATCAGTTCCCTCATAGTGCTATCATAGAAAACATCCAATATTTTAAAAGGAAGAATTCAGGGTGTGGGTGTATTCAGAAAGCCACAAACCTGTCAAACTAAGCCCTATCCTAGATCAGCTAGCATAATGTATCATTAAAGCTACAATTGTCAGGTATACAGAAGTACAAGCTATGCAGCAGAAAACATCATAATGCAAGTACTACAGATTGAAATACTGGAAATTGAAGCATTGCTTTGTTAAGCATTTGACAGTCTTTGAAAATTCATAATAGCAAATGTTCATTTTTGGGTCTACAAAAAAACTTTTGACAATCCTTTACCGAAGAGGTCTCAGAATGGTTGGTAGTCATGTAGTAAAAGGTCAGGTCCTTCAATGAACCAAAAATTAAAGCGTAGAAATATTGATATATAATCACACTAGAAACATATGCAATAGCGTTCCAAGGTTATTAGGACTCTGTATTTAGTTATTCATAAATTGCCTAGAGTCAAAATGGACAGAGAGGTATTTGCAGACTGTATCAACATACTGAGGACAGTGAGATGCCTAATATACTGAAGAACTCCAAAAGGCTCTCCAAACCTCTGAAATGTTCCCAGCATGTTCAAAAGTAGAACGTAATTCAACAGCCAACTTTTTTTCTCAGCATCTTAGGGCAGTGAATTCAAGTTGTGTTATGTGAAGAATTACCCCTTCCAATTTCACCAGATAAGCATATTTGGGAAAGAAGATACAGTTTCTATTCCCTCTCTCCATTTTAAATACACTTACTAAACCTTTCATATAACCATCTCTTCTCCATGAAGGTAATGATGCCATTTTAGTTCCCTTAATTCCTACAGCTTTATAATACCTGCAATGAGACAACCAATGGAGCAGGTTCCAGATTTAAGTGCCCCATTGTACCACCTCAAGTTCTACTTTCCATTCTTTTCCCTAATAATTCCTAGCACTTGGTTTGCTTTTCCGCTGTAGAAACATACCAGAAAGTTTTATACTGTGTCTCAAAGATCTCTTACTGCATTAAAGTCAATTGAGACCTCATCTGCCCCTATGTGAAGTTCACACAGTTTGCCTCAATATCCACCACTTAAAACAGTTACACTGAATATCACATTGTTCTGTTGCTCAGTCACTCAATCTGAAGAGATTCTCTTGAGGTTCTTAGCAGTCTGTCTAGGATATTAGTACACCAAACTCAGTTTCATCTGCAATCCTGGCTATTTTTCACAGCACAATCCTATGCATGCCTGTTCAGCAGTAAGTCTCATTGTGTCCAGGAGGGCTGTTAAGGACAGGTCTGTTAAGGAGGGCTGACTGTTAAGAATGGGTCATTTCTGAGGGCATTTATTCATAGGGTTGCCAAAAGTTGGCAACAACTTGATGGCAACTAACAATGAAATGTACACAGGATTGCAGCTGGACTTTATCAGAAAGCTGCATGACCATCAATGGGAAAGAGTAGTTACTTAGGCATTCAGCTAGGGATGTGGTAATGAACTGAAGGAGGAAAGGAAGCAAAACTTCATGGATGAAAGGGTGTCCTCAGTAGACCAGGATTTGAAAACTACAGTTCAGGACAACCATGATATAGCCCATTTATTTTGTTTACTAAGTAAAAATAAAAGAAGTTGCACATACTTCAACAAGCTGTGCTTTGTTAAGTCCTGGTCTGGTCTGTAACTTGAAGTGCCTTTTGTATCTTCTTAGTGTGTTTACTTGCAACTGAAACAGATCAACCTGGAAAAGGAAATAAGATGATGCTTAACCCAAAGGCAAATCTGAAGTTATTTCATCATGTACATGCTGTATAAAACTTGACATAATACAACTTTATAATGTGTTGCACATGATTCTGTAGCAGTGCATGGAGTTTCTATCACAGCATCAGCTACCACCAGTACCAGGAAGTTAGAAGACTCCAGATGAACTAGTGGAGATTATCCATTCTGCAAACATAAAATTAGTTTCAAACTCAGCAAGAACTTGGAAAAAACCCACCTCAGACTCTGAAAGCTGCTATCAGAGAAGATGATATTAAGCTATAAGGATCAGCCAGTATGACAAGTTAGGATACTCAAGGCAGCTTCAAATACAAGCAGTTATGGCAATGAAAGAAGACAGCACAAGAACAAAATGTCAAATAAGCCCTACATTATGTAATTAACATATAGCCCTACAGCACACACACAAATATATTGAGCAAAGCCTTGAATATTCAACTCCTCAGCAAGTGTATTTTATTTATCATAAACTATTGCTGTTCATACCCTCATGCTTCCATCACTTCCTTTTTGACAGTACAGACCCAAGCATAAGCACACCATGGTAACCACCACACACAATAACCATACATAACATCAACAATAAAAACATAAAATAAAAAAAACAACAAAAATGGTGTGTGAGATTCTGTAATAGAGTTATGCTCAGGTCACAAAACATAATTTTTGTAAATTCTGTGTATGTTAGTTTTTTGATCTAGGTAGAGATTAATTCTGAAAATTATGAATGTACCTCTGGAGTGTCAACATCCTGCACTGGTGAATCACCATCATCATCGCTGCCTTTTCTCTTTCTTCTGTTCCGAACACTTTGGATTAGGTTTTTGTGAAAATCACAAATATAAAGATGCCTTGCCTAAAAGTTTAAAGAGACAAATTAATTGCATGGAGTGACAACAGCTGCCGATTTGATAAGCCACATGATTCTAAGGACCATCGGGGCTGTACAGCAAGAATCAAATGGCATTAATCACAAATACATTGTACTGTCTCAAGGTCTGCCAGAGAATGTTGGTGTGGTAACATATTACTGCAGTACAGCCAGCTTGGCTCAGAAAATGCCATTTACCAGTATCTTACTCCCATTAGCCAGGTAAAGAGCACAGCAGAAACCAAGTAATGCCTTTTACAAAGGTAGGCAAACTTCAAAGATGCAGAAATGGCAAAAATGAAGGCATTGTTTGGTAAAGGAAGTTGCCAATTATCTCAGGAACTTCTGCTATTTCTAATATCATTTAACCTGTTAAAAGACAGGAACAGCATTTGCAACTTCTAGGAGCATATTCTATACAGAAAAATTGGGGGTGAATGGAAAAGGTAAAGATGGTGTGAGCTGACAATTCCCATTTTGTCAAGATTCAAGTATTTGAGTATAATTTAATACATGCAGACAAAAACACTGGAATTATTAATTTTTAGCTACAAAGAAGCTACTTCCAATCAGAACTCATTAAAAACATGAACCTCAACATGCTTAATTGCACCACTGCATCCACCTATGCTTTAATGCCTAGGAAGTGTGCTTAGAATTGCATGCTACAACTGCAATCCTAATACCACTTGCCAGGAAGTAAGTCATATGGAACTATTGGCTTTGTGAGTAAAGACATGCGTGTTTGGGCTGTAAATCTACCAGAAGCTACTTCGAAAAGAGTCTTTCCTAAAGCAGAACCCACAGAGAACAATCACAACTAGCATGCAAGGGAAGCAATAAAACTAATCACCTCTCCACCCCACCCCACCCCCCCAAAAACGGTCCTTCTCACGATCTCTCTATAAAAGCCGTTGCATTTGCTGACTGCTATTAGCAACCTCCATTTGCTGCCAACATTAAACAAGGCACTTTAACTGCGTCAGTACAATAAAGCGAGACATTTCAAATACTTGTTCGTTCCGGTTAAAAAGCACAAGTATTCGTTCTGCATTAGGGAGCCATAAACCGGCAGACATTTACTCCGCAGGTTAACGTGCTCTGACTTTCGGAATGTCTGTTGCACTAAATGGCCTTTTCCTCGCTCCCCCACCCCCGCCACTTTCCTTTAAAATGAAAGGGGGAGGGACACGGATGACTTGGCCAGCCTTGGAGAATCTCGCTTTAGAGAGAAAGGGTTATAAGAGCCTGATGGCTGCCAAGGGGAAGACGACACAGTGGCAAAGTGGGACGTACAACACTGCAGCACGAGGCGGAGCAGCCAAGTACTGCCCTCTCCAGAGAAACAGAAACACTCCATGAAATGCACACGCACGCACACAATAACACCGGTCCTGAGGAAAAAAGAAACGGCTTTCTTGCGCAGAGACGCTCACACGATCCCTCTTCCAAAAAGCGGCAATATGGGTGGTGTGTTTTGTGTGTGCGTGGGGTGGGGAAAGCAATAGCAGTAAAAAGAGAACGGGGGGAGAAAGAACAGCCACTTCCATCCGCGCTCACAAAGACCAGTAGATGAAGCCGTTCAGCTTTTGCAACGTCAGCCAGGCAGCCAACTGTGCACCAAGGGCAAACAAAACAGAAAGAAAGCAAGAAAGCCTATATTCAAGATGCCGGGAGGGATCCTTGCTGTCTCCATATTTTGAGGGTTCTATAGACCCCTCTCTACACAAAGACACAATTCATCAATACATGTCTCTAACAAGGAAAACACATAACTCTCCTCTGGGATGCAGGGCGGGGGGGAGGGGAATCGGACGCAAGGAAAAGGGCTGCAGGACAGGCAGCTTATCCGTTGGGCTCCCGGACACTTCTGGAACAGAACGCCGAGCAAGCCTGACCCAGAATTAAGGTTGGAGATTCGGGCCGGGGGGAGGGCGGAAAAGGAGACGTGGAAACAAAACACGAAGCTCCTGCAAGGTTTGGCTTCCCAAGGAAAGCCCCTCACTCATTCATTTCCTTGTCCTCGGCTCGCTTTTGTTTCCTTCTTCGCCACCGCCCCCCACCCCGCTGTAACTCTTCCCTAGTTTGAGGGAGTGATCTATGTGCGGTGATGTTGTGGCAAAGAAGCAAGGAAGCGGCAGGGCATAAACTGCGATGCTTCCAAGCAAGATCCATGGACAATCCCATCCCGGAAAGCAGCAGCCAGGCATGCCCAACTGACTTCAGTGCGCCAGCCCCCGCAGCCCAACACTTACACTCTTGTCCAGCTCGATCTTCACCTTCTTCTGCGAGATGCTCTTCTGGATCCGCTTGCTGAAGCTGGCGTTGCCTGCAGCTCGGCTGCACCTCTCGCCTTCCTCTCGCAAGCAGCACAACTGCCCCACGCCGGGGCCGGCCGCCCCAGGGGGGCCTGCCGAGCCGGCCGCCGTCGCCGCGGCGGCCGAAGAGGCAGCCCCAAGCCCGGCCGGCGGCTGCGGGAGGGGCGGCGGCGGCAGGACCTCCACCGCGGCGGCGGCGTTGGCGACCACCGCGGGGACAGCGGCGGCTTCTCCCCCGCCGCGGGTTACTTCTTCGGGGCCAAAGCCGTTCATCGCAGGCTACCTGGGCTGCGGCGAGTTTCCTTCAGCACGCAGCCGCTGCCTCGAAAGTAAAGTAACTCAACTGGGCGGCGTTGTTGCGCTGCTCCCGCCCGTCACACTCTTGGAGACGCCGCCTCCGTCTCCTTTTGTCAGGCACCAGAAGGGGAGCGGAGGAGGGAAGGCAGGCAGGAAGGAGCGAGGGAGGGCAGGCGCAACGGCCACCTCGTTCCCCTCCTGGGCCCAGCTCGCCCCGGTGCTCCAGACAGAACAAGGGGCTCCAGAGCCACTGCGTGAAGGGAACCCCTCCGGGCGGCGACTGCAGAAAACAGCCGCTCCGCTTCCCCCGCGCTTTGACACTGGCAGGGAGGAGAGAAAAGCAAAACAAACACTTCCACTTCCTCCACTCCTTCTATGTAAAAAAGCAAGCTAAGCCGTGCCCTTCGAGCGGCGGCACCTCCCCCAAGTAATTCAATCTCCAGGCTGCATCTCGTTAAAGCTACGGACAGGTCAACTGAGCTTCCTTTCCCCGCTCTCGTCATGCGCGGCAGACTTTTCAGCTGTTTCCCTATTGCAGTAGCAACAACCTGCTCCAGTACGCTAGAGCGCTTTCTCCCTCCGTCCACGAACGTTCACGGGAATGGTAGTTTTCCCGTTCTACCTTCGTTCAGGGAGCCTGCGGGAGCGGAGACTACAAATCCCGAAATGCACCGCTGCGCAAATCCGCCTTGTTAAGTCTATTTACAAAAGCGGGCGAGTGAATGCGGCGGGTTCTTTGCAGCCCTTCGCTTCAACGTGCAGGCCATTTTACGGGCCCTCGGGAGGCATACGCTGCCACAAAGCGCGCTCATCTCATATCAAAGAGGCGGCGTAGAAACGAGAATATAAAAATGCGCGCTCGACTTCTGTTAGCGCGCATACAAGAAACGCTGCTTCTGCGTGTTTCTCCACGCTGTCCCCTTAGTCGATGCGTAGTTACACGAGGGGCGGTGCTTTTGCATCCTCCTCCCCACAGGAGGAGGCTCCGTGCAGCCGTTGGCATGGGGGGGGGGCACAGAAAAAATACAAATACTCTGTGCTTGGGGAAAGTTGAAAATGGAGCGGTTGCCTCGCTGTGTTGCTGCAATTTGCTGTCCCAAGCTGCCTGCGCTGCAGTACCCGCTTCGCTTGCGTCTGGGAAAGGCCAGTGCAGTCGCTGCACACGAAGCAAGCAGTGGCTCCTTGCTATGACAGTGCAAAGCGGAGCAAACCGCCAGCGTTTGTAACCGTCGCGACCAGTCGCTCCTTTGGGCTCGTCGCGTGTTGCTGAGCCACATTCGAAACGGTGGATCCTTGTTACCTTGTGGCGTATTCAGACGTAATTTAGGAGATCCCCCCCTCCCTGAAACCACACTTAAGGCGCTCTAATCTGTGCCATTTCTTGCGACAGAAACAAATCTTGGGTCAAGTAGGATGCAACGATGAAATACTAAAATAGGGCTAATTATTTCCCTGAAGTTTTTTTAAAAATGGATTTTCATGAATGGGGGAGGGGGCAGGCATGACTTTGGCCAACCAGACAATAATGTTACCCTTGCATAGCCAGCAGTTTTTAAATTTCTGTGACATTAAATCCGTTTTTAAGAAAAATATTCAAGTGTGATGACTGAATCAACTATAGAAGAAATAAACTAGTATCAAGAAAGGTGTTACTCAGGAGAAGCCCCACTCGTGCCTAGCTATGTCATAATTTAAAATGAGAAGCTAGGACTCACTTCTGTATACTAATTACTATTCTCTTTACTATTTACTTCTTCCATCAATGGGGCCAACTCTAAAGTTGTTCAGAGGCCCTGGCAACATCAAGCCACCACATGATAAAGGTATCCTTTTCCATTTTCCCCTGATGCTGTCTTTATTCTGAGGCAGGGACACTCTGGGGGGAATAAAAAACTGTACAGAGAAGACTTTAAAAGCTTTAGTGGTCTTAAAGCTTCCAGTCCTTTCCCATCTATGGGATAAAAGCTGGAACAGTGGACTACTTTCAGAAAGCAGACAGCGATAAGGAAAAAATATTTTCTACATCCACTTTTAATACAAAGCAACATTTGTGGTCCTAACATTCACCTATTTTGATTTAATATGGTTATCCATATACTTAAACTTGTTATTTTTGCTTAAAAATACATCTGAGATATACTACACGTGGATAAGTATCATTACAAATTATTAGTATTTTAAATATTCACTTTAGAAGTAACTTTGTACTAAAATGTTCTGCATTCTTCCTGCTTTTGTTTTGAAATAGCTCTGCTAAAACTGTAGTAGCTTTTTTCTTAAATTATCTGTTTTCTGTTTCTGAAGGTTACAAGCTCATCTAAAATCTCCTACTTAGCATTAATTCACCTAATGTCATAAGGCTAACTAAGGACCCACAAACCAGGCACTGCCATTCGACTGCAAACAGACATAACAAAATTTATGTTACAAAAGTTGAATGTTTCAAAATACAGGCATGGAATTGAAAAAGAGGAAGTCCATTAAACTTCTGCATGGCTGCACCAGTGCTTCTCCAGAAATATTTCAGAATTAAGAACAGAAAAATAGGGAAAGTGATTTTCCTTCCTCATTTGGAATCTTCTTTCTCCTACCAATTAGGTGCCAATCCTCTGATATAACTCCGATCTCAGTTGATCTATATAGGTTGCCTATTAGAGCTTCTACTGGTAGGTAAGTGTAGAAATGAAATAAAAAGTGCTAACCTTTAGCAGCAGTTTCTGGCCAAGTTACTTTAGAAATTGTCTGCTCCTGTGTAAACCTGCTTAGTTTCTAAGATAGGCCACTGAAGCCTTTTCTTGGTCTTATCTACCCATGAAATCATGTGAATGCATCCAAGTGAAGGAGCCTTTTTGGTAGTGCCAAGATTATGAAATTCCTCTTGATAGACTTCCTCTGGGCTTCGTCTTTACCTTTATCAAGACTTTTAAAATTTGGAACATCTTTTAATGTATATCTTCTGTTTAGGATATTCTTTAATTGCTAGAACTTTTAATGTCGCATTCATTTTTCTTAGCAAATAAGGCTGGCATTATAAATGGATTTAGTGTTGAGTTGTAACTTTTTCTTCTGTATTTACAGTAAGTCATACCATTTGTCTTGACAGAAAAGCCACACATAAATAATATACTCATCTAAAAATTCAAGCCACCGTATAGCAGGGTGGACAACTTGTGGCCCTCCAATGTTTTGGTCAACAATTCCCATGATTGTTCATTATTTGTTGTTCTAGCTAGGGCTGATGGGAGTTTTAGGCCAAACTCAGAGGCCACAGGCTGCTTATCCTTGAAGCAGAAGTTGTCAGGAATGTTTCCATGTTGTGGCACTTTTGCCTAATGGCTACAAAGCCATTCATCCAGCAGCAGCCATTCATTCAACTAATTTTTCCAGGTAACTTGAGGATTCATCTTCTTGCTTGCTTTCTAGCTTGCAAAAATTGACTAAGGGGGCTTAGTAGAAAAAGGGGTAAGGAGAATCCATATTATCTTCATATGGGAAGGAATTACGCAAAGCACATTATGCAAGAACTGTTTAGCTATGAATTATTTCAGTAAAAGCTTAATCAATTCACAAAAACTGGTAACAGGAACTCATAGGTACAACATCTGCTGCAGCATTTTAAAATACAGCTTAACATCTCTGATGGTTGTATAGAAACTTTGTAATGATATATCAGAGCAAGAATACCCAACATGGAGACCATGGATACCTGCATTTTTTCAATTTTTCCCATTTTTAAAATATATACATGATTTTATATGAAATGCACACAATTTTATATTTATACATTGCTAGAAATTATAACAAAATGGACTAAATATCAAAATAAGTATCCATTTGAAGTTGGCTTCCAAAGCATTTTCAGGTCCTCAACCAATTGCTTTGTAGGAGGCGAGTGTTCATCCTTCCAGTGTTGTAGTACCTGTCTTTTAACTGTAAAGAAGGTATAGATAATTCATTTCTTCTTCTGTTTGTTAGTTACTACAAAGGAGGTAAATTTAAGAGTATATATATCATTGAAGACTGTTCCAATACAAACTTTATCAGAACAGTAACCTGTCCAAAAGAAACTATTTGACATTGTCAAAACGTGCTTTAAAAACATCGGCTGTACTAAATTACCTGCAATGAGTTGAACTAGATAATCCCTTATTAAAGACACGTTGCAGTCTTGGCAAGGCACAACATTATTATTTTTTTGCTCTGTTAAGGCACAGTCCATGATTCCTAACCCAAAGGGACAACATCCCAATTAGTGTTTTGTGGTGCCAGCAGCAGCTTCTTAAATTTCCGGATGTTGCCAGGGGTTCAAAAAGTTTGGGGACCCCCTCTTTCTTCCCCTGTCCAGAGTGGAACCTCCTACGTGGATTAAACCAGAAGACACTTGTAAGCCACAACACCCCTTTCCCAGCACTTTAGGTAATATAGCTATGGTTATATTGAATTTGCAACATAATTTAAACATTATGTTTAGTTTCAAGTTAACCCTTGCTGCGCCAAAACCACACTTTTAATCAAAATAAAATAAGAGTTAACATTTTTGTTTCTTTTTGTGATGTTGTGTCTTGGGGAAACACAGTCTTGTCCGATCGTAGCAATTCTAAAATCCTACATTTCCTCATTGTTTCTTATTGGCAGCTGTGTTTAGTCCCAGGCAAGAAAACTTGGCATCCAAAGTAAGCAAGATGACCTTTCTCAAGAAAATAAAATTGCTAATCTAGAATGTGATAAGTCTCTGATTGGAACTACATTTTTCACAATGCTCGTCCCTGAGCTATCTTTTTGCTACACTTCACATAAAAGTAATTGAAACCAGCCTTTAGGAGGTGCACTTCCTAGTGCTTAGAATAATGCTTTATTTGACTGAAACAAGTCTTCCGTGCACTGTCGGGCATAGAAGTTCAACTGTTTACAGAGACAGTTGCCTGGAGACACTCAAAAGGGTGTAGCAGAAAGTGACAGGCATGGAAGAAAAATTGGGAAGGAGAAGGAAGCAAAGACCAATATATAGCAAACAGAAAATGTATATAATTTCTATGTCAAAAATCAAAAGCTCAGCTAAATGTGGGAAAAGGTTACAGCAGCAGCTGCAAACATTAAAACATTTATTGGACTTACTACTTATCATCTGTCTTTTTGCAGTTTTCATACACAGTATGTATAGTTGATCGTCTTGTAAAAGACACAGAACATCTTAAAACAGACTAATTTACTTTAAAGTCAGGAGGACCAGCATTTAAAAGTCCTCTACTGATAGTGTAACTAACAACACAGTGGAATACATGCATTTACACAAAAGCCAATCTTGCTTAGTTCTGTAGGACTTGTTCAAAGTGTGCATAGGACTGCAGCCACAGATATATATCTTTATATCTAAATCCAGCTGCTAGAAGTCTGCTAAAAGCAAACCATTTCCAGGAAATGGGTATGTTCCATTAGGCCTTTACAAGCAAACAAGTTCAAAACCAAGGGAGGAAGCACGGAAAATGCTTACTTCCCCACTGTCATTTGACTGCAGCACACACAGTGCATTCACAAACTTATTTTTCTTCAGTCCACCAATCTTAATTTCCATTTTCCCATCCCAAAGAA